TTAGGATAGGGGATGAAGAGCAGAGTCAACAAGACTGGTATGTGGTCTGACAGTGGAGGAGCAAGAGAACAAAAGGAATCAAGTATAATGCCTAGCTGTTTGGCTCAAAAACTGGGTAGATGGTGCTTTTATTCGCTGAGATGGAGAAAAGTGGAAGAGGAGATTTGCAGATATGGGAGAAAAAAGATCAAGTGTTTTGTCTGATACATGTTTAACATAAAATGCCTATGAAATAGCTATGTGTAGATGGCAAGTAGAATCTATGATTCAGAAGCTCAGCAGAAAGATTAAAACTGGATAGAAATTTAAGTGTTATTGACAAAAGTGCTATTAAGTCCTAGGATAGAATTAAGGCATCTAAAAAGAATATAAGAAGACAAACAATCCAATTACAAAATGAGCAAAGGACCTAAATAGACACTTCTCCAAAGTGGACATACAGAAGGCCAAGAGACATAGAAAAAATACTCAGTCACTGTAGTCATCTGAGAGATACAAATTAAAATGACAATGAGATAGCATCTCACACCTGTCAGAATGGCTGTCATCAACAAATCAACAAATAACAAGTGTTGGTGAGGATGTAGAGAAAAAGGAACCCTAGTACACTATTGGTGGAAATGCAGACTGGTGCAGCCACTGTGGAAAACAGTATGGAGTTTCTCAAAAAATTAAATATGGAACTTTCATTTGACCCAGTGATCCCACATCTAGGAATATATCCTAAGGAATCAGAAACATCAATCAGAAAGAATATATGCAGCCCTATGTTCATAGCAGCACAATTTACAATAGCTAAGATTTGGAAACAGCCCAAGTGCCCATCAGCAGATGAGTGGATAAAAAAGCTGTGGTACACCCAGCCAGAGTGACTCAGTGGTTGAGTGTCCACCTATGAACAAGGAGGTCTCGGTTAGATTCCCTATCAGGGCATATGCCCGGGTTGTGGGCTGGATCCCAGGTGTGGGGCATGCAGGAGGCAGCTAATCAATGATTCTCCCTCATCACTGTTTCTGCCTCTCCTTCTTCTTCCTCTCTGGAATCAGTAAAAATATATATTTTTTTAAAAGCTGTGGTACATTTACACAATGAAATATTGCACAGCTATAAAATGGAAGGAACTCTTATCATTTGCAAGGATCCCAGGTGTGGGGCATGCAGGAGGCAGCTAATCGATGATTCTCCCTCATCACTGTTTCTGCCTCTCATTCTTCCTTCCTCTCTGGAATCAGTAAAAATATATATTTTTAAAAGCTGTAGTACATTTACACAGTGAACTACTGCACAGCTATAAAACGGAAGGAACTCTTACCATTTGCAGCAGCATGGATGCTAAGCAAAATAAGCCAGTCAGAGAAAGATAAGTATCACATGATCTCATTCACATGCAGAATGTAATGAATGAAATAAACTGATGAACAAAATATATCCAGAGACATGGAAGCATGGCAAAGACTGATGAATTTCAGGGGGAAGGGTGGGTGGGTAGATATTAACTGGGGAACTTATATGCATATATACACAGCCCATGGACACAGACAATAGTATGGTGAAGTATGCCTAGGAGGGGCAGGTGTGGGGTGGAGAGGGTCAATGGGAAAAAGAAAAAAACAAAGGGGACATCCGTAATGCTTTCAACAATAAAGATAAGTTGAAAAAAAATAATATATAGGTGACAGAGAATGGGTCCATGACAGAGCTTTATGGCATTCTAACCTTTAAAATGTCAACAGAGGGGGGGAATTGCTAAGGATACTGGGCAGGAGTGACCAGTGAGATAGGAGGAAACTCAGGAGAAAATATGTCTCAAAAGTCAAGAAAGTGATGTGTTTAAAAGAGGAATGTGTGGTCAGCTCTTCTAAATGCTGCTGAGAGACCACAAAAGACTTGGAAAAATAGAGTTCCCAGTGACCTTGACAGACGTAGTCTCTGGAGAGATGATATGGTAGCCTTACAGGAGAGGGTTTAGGAGAGTATGAGGGGAGTAAATGTCAAGAAGAACAATAACCACAGGCAAATTAATAAGTTTTGCTGTGAATAGAAGCAGAAAATGGGGCAGTGAGTAGAAAGGAATCTGGGATCTAACAGTTTGTGTGTTTTTTTAAGAAAAAGATCTTACTCCCAATTCTATGACTTATGAAATCCAAAGCCCTTATCAAGGTCTCTGAAGTTCCTGGAAGAAGGATGTTGTGATAGAAATGCATGTGTGTATATGTATATATTGGCGGGGGCGGGGTGGGCTGGGGGGGGTAAGAGGAATGGTTACCACTGCCTCTGAGGTCTCAACAGCCTATTCACATGTATACCATTTCTGCTGCTCACCACTTTAACCTGCATTCTACTGAGGGAGGGTCTTACCTACTATGCAGGCTGGGGAGATGTTGCTGGCGGTTTGAGGGTCATGAGGAAGACTTGCATTGCATACTACATAGCAAAACAATACAAAGACTTCATTACACATTCCTACGCTTAAAAGTCCTTGCCTGTTTCCTTACACTGGGCGGTCTTCACTGCCCCTCCATCCTCCAGAGAACCCAGCCTTCTGTTCCTCTTCCACCCTCTTGCTCTTCTCTCTTGTGTTCAAACTGTTCTGTTCCCTCTCAGACAAAATATACACGTAAAAACAAAACAAAAAAAGTGTATGCATGCATATGCGTGTGTAGACACTTTCCTCCAGAGTGGCCTGCTCTTTTTAAAGGTGGGGGGACAGGAATGCTTGGATCCCCACACCCTTGTGTTTTACTCCAGATGGTAAAGTTTCCTCTCCAAAAGTAATTCTGGAGCTAGTTCCTAAAATAATCCGTTTTCCACCAGACAGAGCACCTGTCCTAGTAGGCATGCAACAAGCAGCAGCTCCTGCCTTCCTCCCTCAGAGAAAAAAACAAGGGTAGAGCTGGAATGCTGCTGTAATTTCCACAGGGCTTTCCACACAGCAGGGCCTGGATTAAGGTTTATTGAGTTATAGGATATGATGCCGCTGCCTTGGGAGGATATGCACAATTCCTTCTAGTTTTAGGATTAAAATAAGTGAAGGTACTGACTTACTATTAAGAACAGAGAGTAGTCATCTATAACAACACAGATTTGTACATTGTGTTGGTTTACAGGTCCAAAAGATTTTTGCCCCCTTAAAATGTTTAGATCTCAGCATGTTGTGCTTACTAGTATACAGTCTCTCTCTCTCTCTCTCTCTAGCCTCCCTCCCTCCCTCCCTCCCTCACTCCCTCCAGGAACTTCAGTTATATTATGTAAAAGATAAATGAGATTTGGCCTTCTGTGACCATTAGAAACCTCCATCAATATGAGCTCACCAGCCTCTTAGTTAAAGAACAGTAACTTATAAATATACAACAATCTATGGCAAAGGTATTTGGACATACAAACATTGCTTCCCTAACTTTTAAAAAATATACATATTTTTTATTGATTTCAGAGAAGAAGGGAGAGGGAGAGAGAGAAACATCAATGCTGAGTGAGAATCATTGATCAGCTGCCTCCTGCACACCCCCTACTGGGGATCAAGCCCACAACCTGGGTATGTGCTCTGACAGGGAATCAAACCATGCCTTCTTGGTTCATAGGTCAACTGAACCACACCAGTGGTGTGGCTGCTTCCCTAACTTGTGCAACTTTTTATTCTTCCCAAAAGGTCACTCAGAATAAAATATATGAAAAAAGGAGTGGCATTCCATTCTCAGTGAAGAATCCAGCTTTTATATGCCAATGTTTTCAGGATAAAGAGAAAGATGCAAGAATCAGGAAAAGGTACAAATGACTAAAATCTTGTGTTCACCGGGCCCTTTTCTTATAGGTTTCAGATTGCTCATTGAAAGACATTTGACCAAGAGAAGAAAGCCTCAAAATCTTCCCCCACCCTTAACCAATTGTTCATGACTCCATATATGTGATTGAAAGTATATTGGAATCTAAACCAAATGCCCCACAAAGCCAGCATTACTGTCACAAAGGCACCAACACAGTCCCTGGATTCCCATTTTAGTCCTGATAGCCCAGTGATACTGGGAGAAGAGGGAGGAAACTATGAGTTATCTATAAAAAGTCTTGATTTGATCCCATATGCCCAATCCCTGCCTACCAGGTACTCCTACTTTTCCTTTAAATTTAATCCTAGTCTTTCCCAATGGGGGAACAAAGTTCATTTTCTTAGATGCAAAAACATTTCATTATGATGGAAGGAAAATAGTTTGATACATTTTAGCACTGATGTCTCTATGCCCCTCCGTGTTACTACAGGCAACTGGGACTTCAACTTCAAATCATGCACCCATGCATGCATGCTCACATCCACAGGCAGATAGACAGGGAGTGGAATTAAATTTTGCAGGTAAAATTTTTAATCACTTATTTTTCTCAAAAGGTTAGGGTAAATAATGCAAGAGAAAGACAATTTAGGCAAAAATTGTACTTAGTACACTTGATGTTAAATGGAACAACACAGATGTGGTGCAGAGAAGGGTTGAATCAGCTTCTTTTTTTTTTAGTTACTTTTTATATTGTCTAAAGTTGTACATATGTCTCCTTTTCCCCCAGTTGACCCCCTCCCCAGCCATTCCCACCCCAGGCAAGCCCCCACCGACCCAGTGTCTGTGTCCATTGGTTATGGTAATATGCAAGCATACAAGTCCTTTGGTTGCTCTCTAACCCCCACTCCCCTACCATTTGTCTCTGGATCTATTCTTGTTCATCAAATTATGTTGATTATTATATCCCACATATGAGTGAGATAATGTGGTATTTATCTTTCTCCGACTGGCTTATTTCGCTTAGCATATCGTCTCCAGTTTCATCCATGCTGTTACAAATGGTAAAAGTTCCTTCCTTTTTATAGCAGCATAGTATTCCATTGTGTAGATGTACCACAGTTTTTTAATCCACTCATCTGCTGATGGGCACTTAGGATTTCCAAATCTTAGCTATTGTAAATTGTGCTGCTATATACATAGGGGTACATATATCCTTTCTGATTGATGTCTGCTCACCTGTACAAGAGAAGTCATCCACGCGAATGTATCCCGGGACACAGTCACAGCGATATAACCCAGGAAGGTTGACACACACGGTATTGGCATGACAGTAATGCATCTTAGCTGCACACTCATCGATATCTGAAAGAGAAAAAAAAGATGCAATATTCTGTTAGTCGAATTATTGAACCAGAGTGGAATCATCTTCCAATGAAATTAGAAGATGTGAATGCTCATTGAAACCAAGAGAAAAAGCAAGATGCATTAAACACAAAAGTTTAAGGCAAATTTGGCTGGAGCATTAGATCCAATCTTGGGCAAAAAGTATTTCACAAAGAAATGTAAGGTGCAACACAACAATTAAAAGCCCAAGAAATATAAAGACTAAATGTAATATTATTCATCTCTCACCATCAAGGGAGCTTGATTTAATGTCCAAAATCAAATAGTTCTGTGTCCAGTGAGTTGATACTAATTAATATTTATTAGGTATCTACTGCACATGGTATAGATGTTATCAGCAAGATCAGGGGAATATATCCCCTCCCACTTGTGTGTCTTACTAAGACATGCTTTAATCCATCTGCTACAAAGTGATGGTACAGCCACTTTCTCTCATGTTGCAATGTGAATACAGATAGCAACTATTGTCTCATGCAAATTAATGTCTTTCATCTCTTGACCTGGAGATCTATCCCATACGATAGAACAATGGTCTGATTCAGCAAAAAAAAAAACTTTCTTTATAATGGAGGTCAGAGCACCACCTGCTTTCTCATAAAACTCCAGGATAAAAATTAAAATAGCCTACAAATGTAAATACAGAGTTTAGTTTTTTTTGGAAGTTGTGTTCAAAAATGACTTTATGTTCATTTTACTCATACTGCTTATGTGTGATGGCCAGAGAGAGGGAAAGATATAAACCCAGCATGAGAACCCAAGATAGAAAATGTGAGTTCTAGCTCTGGTTCTGTTAGTTACTAGCCTGTGACTTTCACGTAACCACTGTGAGTCCCAGAATCCTCATCAGCTTGTCATATGGGTCCGTTAGGAACCTACTGC